GAGTCCTAGAGAAGTAATTTGTTCTGGTCTGTCAGTTAGGAAGTGGGTGAGGCTGAGCTGTCTTTCCTTGAGGGCTTGCCTTGACCTGAACTGATACATACTTCGGAGATCACTGGTTTAAGGCTTAACTCAAAATCAACTAGTCTAACTTTTTTCACAGAAGATTTAGAAAGCAAGTATGATTTGGATATGAAGTTTCCCCCTCAGAAGGCTTGAGTGTTGAAGGCGTGGTCCCCAGCTGGTGGATACAATCAAGAGAGGTAATTGGATTATGAGGATTCAGGCCTAATCGGGATGGATGCATAGTTTGACAGTATTATTGGGAGATGACGGAAACTTTCAGAGGCAAAGCCTAGTTGGAGGAAGTAGGTCCTGGGACCATGTCCTTGGGAGCTGTATCTTGTCCCCAGCTGTTTTCTGTTGCTCTTTCTTATTCCTGGCCTCCAGACTTGGGAGCTCACTTTTAAATTTACCTCGAGTCACTCAAGTGTTTGAATTTATTTCTGGGTGGCAAAATGTGGCTTCTTGGCTTAGAAAAATTCCCTCAAAACAAACTGGAAAAAAAGAAATCCCACCAAAAATGGCACCATGAAATACTCTCCAGCATTTTAATGAGCTCATTGTAAGTGAATTAGAAACATTCAAATGCAATTTACTTTAAAATAGATCTGGGTGTTAAAATAGGGGACAGTTGGCAGTTTGAATTCTTTTGATCTCAACCAAAGGAAGGTTTGTCTCTATAAAATGTGCTATGATTTAGAGCAACTAAAGCATCACTTAAAAAAAAAAACCATTCAGGTTCAGTGTGGACAAGAAAACTCCCTGAACACTTATATAAAGAGACAAAAGAGCATTGTGCACAAAATCTTTTTCTGAAACAAAAAAAATTGCCATTCAAAAGCAAAATCCCTATTTGAAACCATTTACTATTTATATCTAGTTTTCAAAACTGTATGTATAATATAGTTATATAAATACATATAACTATATGTATAACAAAACGCATAGCTCATAAAAACCTTATTTTGAAAACCTGTATCTAGGTGGAAATCTGGTTTTGGTGCAGCATTCTGTGTGTTTTACGTCACGTTCTTTCTATTAATTCTGATGGCAAGGCAGCTCTTGGGGCAACTTCATAGCTGGGAGAACCAAGATGCAGAGAGATTAAACGGTCCCCATGGCTAATGTGCAGCAGAGGCAGGGTGTGAAGCCAGGGATTGGCTCCCACAGACTGTGTGCTAACCACACAGACTAATGTATGGCCTGTCATTGACTGGGCTCTAGAGAAACACGAAACCTATAATGCAACCACAGCAGGAGAATAAGAGATGTTTCATAGAAACTCAATAATTGTTTCTATGTTGCATAAAAGCAGCAAATATGATATTCTCTGTTATCAGTGATGATGAAATCAGTATAACTGTGCACTTGATAGCAAAATGATTAAAGTAGGCCCCAGGAAATGGTAACTCTATCAGGGATAACAGATTCTTCATACTTCTTCATGGGTGACCAATACTTTTAAATTATTTAAAAGCTCTCCCACCAAAAGTGAGATACTGAACACACATATCATTTTCTCTTGACAAGTGTACTGGTAAAACATAGGAATTCTATAGCTCTCACTATTACAAATACCTCTACTCGTAGCTTACACTGCGATACAATTTAAATTTTTTATTTTGTAGAAGTGTCCTCTATAATTGTGTTATTAGATTCCTTTTTGTTTGTTTTCTAATCAGCCTTTTTTTTGGACAAGACAGTTTTGCCAGTGAACTGGATTTGTAGAATCCCTTCTTCTTTCAATGTGCATATCCTGTTTTCTATGGACATGTGTGCATGTGGGCGTGCACCTTCACCCACACAAACACACCATCTGTGCCCTGTATGGTTAGCACACCTTTATCACCAAGCTATCTGTCTCCCTTCGGCTGCAAACAAATATCTTCCTGTCTTGGCTTTTTTTTTTTTTCATTGAAACTATGTACCTCCCTCTGTAGGTTTTTACCTCACAATTTTTAGGACTTTAGATTACTTTTATTCCTTTAGTCTCAGAGAGTAAGACATCCTCCATGATCTTGAATGAACCCCTAAGCCTCCCTTTTACAACACACTTTTGTAAAATACTCAACTCTCTTTTACCATGGAAATAAGAACTGAGCCACAAAACTTGATTGTGACAGTCAGGAAGATAATGATCTTCAAGGAGATTAGGTCAGGAGTCCGAGAGTTTGACTCAACGTCAAGTATGTCTGGCATCCTAGGTAGGAGATAGGTAGGCATATAGTGGATATGTTTTTCATCTGTAATGGGCCCTAGGCATAATCTAAAGCTAGTTTCTCTCCTTCTTTTCTTTTTTTTTTTGGGAGGGGGGGCAGTACTGGAGTTTGAACTCACTTGTTAGGCTATCTCTTGAACTATGCCTCCAGCCTTTTTTTTTTGCTTTGGTTATTTTTGAGATAGGGTCTTGCTTTTTGCCCTGGATCCTCCTATTTTTATTCTTCTCATCAGAGCTGGGATGACAGGCAGGTACCACCATGCCCAGGTTTTTCTATCGAGAAGGGTCTCACAAAGTTTTTTGCCCTGCTGGTCTTGAACTGCCATCCTCCCTATGTTAGCCTTCTGTGAAGCTGGATGACAGGTGCATGCCATGGTGCCCAGCTGTTGATTGAGAAAGTGTCTTTTCCCCACATTTTACCCAGGCTGGTCTCGAACCAAGCTCGATCTTCCCTATCTTAGACTCTTGAGTAGCAAGGATTATAGGTGTGAGCCACCAGGCCTGGCTTCCTAATTTTCTTTATTCTTTTACCCTCAAAAGCCATCACTTAGTTCAGTAGCACTATATGTTTATGGTATTTAAACTTAATATGATTTAGAATTTCAACTTAAGCAGAATCAGAGTTTGAGATCAAGTAGGTAACACTTCATATGTAATATAATACATCTGAGGAAGGAAGCAATGACTGCTCCACAGAATTACTCTTAGAGCAAGGGAGATGTTCAGAATAATTAGCTGCTGCTATACGGGGACATACCCAGTGGGTCCCAAGTAAGTGCACAGGGGCTGTTGCTCTTGGGCAGCTCAGGATAACAGCTTTGGTAACAGCTCACAAGTATTTTAGCAGCCATTGCAACCATATCTCTGGCTAAGAACTGCCCTGCAGTACCCTGTCACTCTTGAACAGTACGCATTTAACATAACAGAAGACTAACTTGTGACTAACGCGCGTGAAAACTCATACTGCAAATATGTCCTAGTTTACTAGATGATCATTTCAAACAGTTTCCCAACCTTACCAAGACACTGTGATCTTTAAGATCATCTATCGCATTTAAAACCACTGCATCCCACCACGGACTGAATTTGACTATGGTTACTGATTGGGGGACTGATTAGGGGATGTGGTCCACATGCCTAATATACTGAGGGACTCACTCTAGCAGCTTTCCTGAGTGGCTCAGGCTGTTCTCTTGGTACAAATTCTCCTTGAGATGCAGAAAGGTGCTGCCTCCAGTGAGCACACAGTGCTCCCTGGGACTGCACCCTACTTCTATTGGGATGTCAATTACAAAGCATTCCAGAGCCTTCAGGCCACACTTCTTAACCTTTTCATTGCATAGGGCTCCTTTGGCACGCTGCTGAAGACCACAGACCCCTTCTCAGAACAAGGCTTTTAGATGCATAAAATAAAATACATGGGTTTAAAAAGGAAACTAATTATACTGACTCTGGTTAGCAAAAGGTTAAAAAAAAACTGTATTATGGCAGTCTATATGCTTCTTTATTGACATACTTACTATACAACAATACCTTGCTGAGGCTCCAACTAACTACTGTAATTTGAGACATTTGCAACAACCGTAATGATGTCCTGTGAAAATCTTAATGGCCTCTATTGGTGATTAAGTCATTGATACTTATCCTCTTGCCACTGTGGTTTGTTGCTTGCATTTGTAATGGAAGGAAATGCTAAATGTCGGAGGTTAATGACCATAAAAATATAAATTTTTCTCATCCAAATTCTGAGTAGCTTTGAATTAATTCTTTCTACCCTAGCAAAATAAGGTTGTCACAAAGGCCAACACCTCACTGGAGGGCCCACCCTATGCCCAGGAGGTAGTCACCTTCTGGCCACATGCACTGACCTCAGAGCTACCCCTTTGGTCTAACAGTTCTCCCCGAAACTAGACCGGGAAATTTGGGGGTAGAAAAAGGGGTCAATGCTTGAGCTTCTGGGCCCCACTTTGAATGATCCATCCTTTATTGTTGAGGGGTTTCTTAACAGCATCAGGACCCTTGAAACCCAAATTTTAAGTTTCTACTCCAGGGTGACTTCTTCCATAAGTTTTTCTTGTCACCTTGTCACCCCAGGGGTCTGGGGCCAGGATTAACTTTCATTTTCTCATCTGCAAAATGTCACTCACGGGAGTGTTAGGATTGAATGAGGTAATGGCTGCATTTTGCAAATTGTACTATCAAAGTGTGTGCTACTATCATTTTCAACGGCTAGGTCTCTGAGGAGCCCAAAAGTATGCAGCGCCAGTCCCCAAGTGGTGGGCACCACTTGTAGAATGAATGAATGAATGAATGAATGAATGAAGTCTGTCTCTGCACTTGGGCCCATAGCTGCAAGAGCTGGCTGCGGGAGCAATGAGGCGGCGCGTTATCTGCACTTTTCTTTACTGACAGGTAGCAGACGCCTTTCTCGCTCGCGCTGCGGGGCAACAATCCAAGTGCTTCTTTGCAGACGCGGGGCGGCGGAGCGGGGTGCTCCTGCCTGAGCTCCCCCTCGGGGTCTCCCCGGTCGCTGCTTCCGGGCAGGTAAGGGGTGGAGATCAAGGCGCAGCGCCGGGCGCGCGGCAGCCGGGGCGGGCCGGGAAGGTGCTGGCCGCTGCCTGGCCGCAGGCGCACGAGGAGGGGCCAGGGGGTGCGGAGGGGCGGGGCCGGCGTCCTCGTCACTTGATAAAACGCCTGCGAGTCTCCAGAGAACAACGGGCCCATTCAGCGGTCAGGAGCTGCCGGCGAGGGGGAGCGGCAGGACGAAGAGCGCGACCCGTGCTGGGGGTGGGGCCGGGCGCAGTGGCGAGAGGAGCCGAAGGTGGCCGCAGCCGCAGCAGCGCGCAAGCAGCTCGGACCGGGACGCGACCCGGCGCGCAGGGCGGCCGCCGCAGGTCCCCGCTTCCCTTGCCGTGCTCCAGCCCTCCCATGGCGGCCGCGGGGCAGCTGTGCTTGCTCTACCTGTCGGCGGGGCTCCTGTCCCGGCTCGGCGCAGCCTTCAACTTGGACACCCGCGAGGACAATGTGATCCGGAAATCGGGGGACCCCGGGAGCCTCTTCGGCTTCTCGCTGGCCATGCACTGGCAGTTGCAGCCCGAGGACAAGCGGCTGTGAGTTCCCCGACTCTTCCCACCCCCACCGGCCCGCGCGAGGAGGGGCGAGGGCGCGCCCTGTTCCCGCCGGCCCTGCCCGGGTCCCGGCCGCAGGGAGGCGCGGAGCCCGGGTCGCCGGCCAGCCGCGCCCACCGCCCGCGCGCTCCGCTGCGCAGCCCGGAAGGCGGAGAGCCCGGGGACCGACCCCCGGGCCCCGGCCCGCCGACAGTTTACTTTTTTTTTTTTTTAAAACGAAGTGCTTTCCGCCAGTTCTTCCCCGCGGGCTTGTTTGCTGCGACCCCGGCAGGTGGCACGCTTTGCCAAGCTTCACGTGTGTGTTTGGGGCAGGGGATGGGAAGGTAGGGTCGCCGCATCGCTGCGGTGGGTTGCTGGGAGCGTTGTTCCAGGAAGATCCAGGCCTTTCCCAAACTCACTGAACGTCCAGTCCCTTCGCGCACTCGACTCGCGCGCCCCGCGGAAGTTGGAAAGCCACTTTTCGTCCTGTTCGGCATGACTTTCCTTGCAGGGTGGGCGCTCCTGTAGAAGATACTTTTAAGTAACACTGCTTTTTTTTTTTTGATGGAATCGACCAAGCACCTGTTCTCAGGACTAGATCAGCTGGGAAATATAAGTACCCCCGAGTGGTGTGCCTGTCCTCCTACTCCCGCCCAGCCTCCTAATCCCTCGGCTGTCCCTGCATTGGGCAGGCCCCGCCGAGGGCTCAAAGCAAAATGTCCGATCTGAGCTGGGATTTAGCAAACAAGGTTCGGAAGTGACACCCCCACAACACACACAGGAGCGGGGATCCTTCCAGGAGAAAGTGGAGACCCGCGCTCTTTGCCTCGGGTTCTTTTTGAACTGTTTGCTTCCCACATGACCGCAATCGCTAGACTGGAGAGGGTATTTTGGAATTAGTTGTCTTAATCGCCGTGGGGCTGCATTCCTGATCCTGCTACCGGGAAAAAAAAAAAAAAAAAAAAACAGGGCAACAACAAAAGGCTACCTCCCTACCCAGGCTTTTAGTTGAACCTAGGTCCTTCCAGGACCAACAGACCCGAGAAAGCAAAGTGCTGTCACTGTGTTTAGGAGAGGCCATGGGATTTTAGAACCGGAGAAAATCCTGATTTCAGTCCTTAACAACTTTGGAATTTGTGAATGTTTGTAGGCCCCTGAATCTTAATGTCAGGTTTTTCTGATAACACTTGCTAGTGTGGCTGGGGGGCCCCAGGCAGGTGGCCTTGAGTCTGCAGGTCTGGCCAGCTGTTCATACTCTGCTTTCTCTCACAAATAATTGCTGCTAAGCTGTAAACATGAAATGAAAGGTGGTTTCTGTTAACTCCGTTAATGGATGCTATTTGGCGTGTGGGAATGCTGTGTAGGTGTGCATGCCACCTGAAGGATTTGAACTTGTTAGTGCATAAGTGATGGAAGGTGGGCAGAGAGAATGTGTGCCCTTCGGCATTCTTTCTGCACCAGAGGCCACAGAGACTGGTGGCTTCCATGACATACCTAGACATTGTAAAGGGGAAATAGTGGAGCAAGAAATGTCCTTGGGATGGATTTTGCAAACCATGCCTTTAGCCAAGAATCTGTTGTCATTAAGGTGAGCCTGCTAAAACTTGTCAACTGCTGCAGGCGTCTCTGGTATCAGAGTTGCTGCAGGGCTGCCCTTCCCTCCTGGGGTGAGGAGTCTGCTTTTGGAGCCTGCTACCTTCTAGATCTATGCTCTCCATAGGGGCTGACCAATGAGGGTAGGTGGTCAGACCCTCAGATGGGGAAAAGCCCACCTGACTGGACTGTGTCTTTCCCTAGAGCCCAGATACCAGCCACTATAGGACTGTGGTATGTGTCCAGTGCTGCCTTCCACCCTTTCATATAGTATTCCGACTTCAGGGTTAGCATTGGTCCTGCCAGAAGAACTAGCATACCATATCACATCTGTTGTCCCCTTTGACAGAAAAGGATGTGGGTGTAAATGACAGAGCCAGTGAGATTGAGACTTCTGGTCCAGTTTCCCAAACTCCGTGGGAATATTTCAGGGAACTGGTGGGGGAGAGAGCTGAGCTCAAATTCCTTCTTGGCCGTTTAAGTAGCTGTTCGTTGTTTTGTTTCTTCTCCTGTAAAATGAAGCTATTTTACAGGACGTGTAAAGTGTGCAATGCCTGCCTGGCATGGGTACCTACTACTAAGTGTCAGGTTCTGGTGGTGATTACTGTAGAAGCAGTAACTGTTTCTACCGTACGTCAGGTATGGCAGAGGTGTCCAGAACATTCTGTGCTTGTAACAGTGCCTCAGAGTAAAGGCACAGGCTATTGTTTGGGTAATTGATATCCTAAACTCTCAATCATGTTTATGAAACCTGAAGCAACTTAACTTTAATCAGCCTTAATTAGACTCAAAAGCAAACTTACTGAACAAGTGACTTTGGAGGCAGAGATGCGTGGGAAGATCAGATAAATGTACTGTTACAGAAAACGCATCGTAGATCTTTGGGGTTGAAACTTTCTACAGTGCCATCTAAATATTCTAAAGATGTTGTTAAACATTTTTAGTTAAGATTTTATAAGCAGAGTAATACTGTCTGAGAGTCCCCAAACACACCGGCTAACCTAAAGCTTTGGGGACTGCCACACTGAATTGGATACCACACAACTTCATCCAGGTTTTTAGGTTGTATGTTAAAGAAGTTTCAGACTCCAAAAGATTATTAGGTGGATAGCTGAGTGACTGAGGTCACGGTCTAAGCGCCTGAGAGCTTTAATTTCTCTTGGGTAGGTAAGGCTGAGTCATCCTCAGGGGTGGAAGATGTATGCTGATGACTGTGGATATATCCATCCTATGAATCATCACTCAGCTCTTCTGGGAACACATGGATCTGTGTGGCTATGGGCAGACCCTGGAAGGAGGACATCATGTAGTAATACTCATGGGACATTCTAGATTGCCCTCAACCCTCCTTTTCTTTTTGATTCTCTCTCATCACTACTGTCTTCCAGAAGTTTTCAAAGCCTGTTGTTCTGATTGTTTGTGCTTGGCTTTACTCAAACATGTAGTGTTCTAGCTTTTAAAATCATGTTTTCTGAACTAGAGATCATCTAGGCAACTGCCTGCCTTTGCAGTTGAAGGAACCAAAGCTGAGTGTTGTGAAATGTCTTGGCCAAAGTCTCAACTGCTCTAGCAGAAGCTTAATTGAATCTAAATTTGAGGTTGGTATTTCTTTATTTTTTGGTAGTACTGGGGTTTGAACTCAGAGCCTTGTTGTTGCTAGGCCCTTGCTACTGCCTGAGCCATGCCCCCAGCCCTTTTTTGCTTTAGTTATTTTTTCCAGATAGGGTCTTGTGCTCTTGCCTGAGGCTGACCTTGGGCCAAGATCCTCCTACCTCTATCTCTCAAATATCTAGTATTATAAACACGCATCATCACACCTGGCTTGTTTGCTGAGATGGGAGTCTTGCTAACTTGTTGCCCAGGCTGGCCTTGAACCACAATCCTCCTGATCTTCACTTCCTGTGTAGCTGGTATTACAGAGATGAGCTACTGCTCTTGGCCTGAAGTTGGTATTTCTGATTCATAATTAGCTGTCTCCTAAAGGAGAAGTCAGAAATGTCCTTCAGACCTGGAGAAACTGGCAGGCAGTTGAGTTTGGAAATGTACTATATTGTGTTGATTTATTAAACTGTTTCCCATGTGGGTCAGATCTGTCTATTTAAATATCAAGTCCTGGACTCTTTTCTTATTGATTCTTATTGCAACTGGCCATGGATCAAGTTCTGGGTCTTTCCTTCTGAAAAATCCCAGTGAAGTATGACTGCTAGGGGTCAGAGGCTGTGTTTAGGCTGTGTACCCAAGCTCTTGCTTCCTTGCATTCATTCCCTTCCTCTGAGTGCCATGTGGTCCAGGGCCACCTTGAAGAATGGCTGGGTCACCTTGCATCCCAAGAAGGGAGGAAAATACAAAATGGGAAGGAAACTTAGAGGAAATCTTTGACAAGTTTAACTTTAACACAGCCAGTGTGAGACCATCCAAGTAATGACCAGGTTGGGGGGAAAGGGTCAAAGTATTTATACAGTATAAATAATTTGTTGGGAAAGCTGGGGTAAATTGTCATAGAATAAGATTCTCTACTATAATGAAGCAGTTATTCTATATTCTTAGTTGTATGAATTGTTTTAGCATAATGATATTTAAAAAAAAAAATAGTTGTAACCAGAAAGTACTAGAACTATGGCACATGGTTCCCTGACCACCTGGGCTCAACATGTTACTGTGGCCAGTGAATTCTTTGGCATTTTCAAAAGGGACAGACAGGTATGCCTACACTGAGTCAGCCTATCTCAGGAACCCATCCTGCCTCACAACATCCTTCCCTTGAATGAGGGAAGGAAGGTTCTGATGTTTAACTGATCATCTCCCAACTGGATGAGAGTTTCTGTGGGGGCTGGGCTCCTAGGCTTATCTTTGCCTGATAGCACCTGGCATGTGCCTTGCAAATGCTACAAGGAGTCCTATCATACACTCAATTTAACTTGTAAAGTCAACTCTCCTGCTGAGCAGAGGGGAGGGCTGCAATTCCTTTATTGCACTTGCCTGCCCAGGGCTTGCTGTCTGTTGGCCCAGGGAAAAGAGAAGCTACAGCTGTGATGTAAAGAGACATCTTGAACCAAGTTCATTCTTGGTTTTTGAGTTCAAGGATCCGGGTTCTTGTTGGTATGTCACTCCACCGGCCTGTAGGGAGGGCGCTGAAGAGTGGGGCCTGGGATCAGCCCTCATTGATGCGTTCCCCTTTTAGGTTTGGGTATAACCTTAGAATCTAATAACTTTATATCTGGAAGGAGCTTAGGGGTTCTTAAATGTCTGGTCATCAGGTTAACTAGTTGGAGACTCCTAGGAAAAGTTAGGATCCTCAGCCCTGCCCAGATCTATTGTGTCAGTTTGCATCCATTTGACCCAAGATGCTGTTCTTACAGTTCTCTAGGTTTGAACTACAGGAGTTCTCCTTGTTTACACAGAAGGTGGCC